CATATATAGCTCAACATATTCTGCATTTTACAAAAACAATTATATCAGTCATTAGTATCTTTGGTTAGAATAACTTAAAATTTTGAATACCAAATCTGTTTTCATTATTAACAACAATGTCGTGTCCGTTAGACTTAAGGACGTGAGTCTTTACTTCACCAAACTCTTCAACAGAAACCTTTAATTTATACAATAATAACAACAATATTATTAAATTATAATTATTAATAATAAGTTTAAATAATAATTTACCTGAAAATTCATGCAAAAATCTTCTTCAACATTGCCTTCATATGAGAGTAACTCTTTGAGACCGACGGCGACATCCTTTCAATATTAAAATTATAATTTTGGTAATTTTATTGGTTAAGGTATGAGGAGATATAGCATACGGGCATAACTTGGGTGAAGTCATCCATTGTTATGTTACACATTCCGACCGGATTTCGATCCACATCTTGTGGTACAACGGGTGGACTCAACAACTTTTTGAAGCAAAGGGTCGGAAAGTGAAGATCGAGTATTCTATCCATTCAATTAAATATAGCAAAACAATTGTTTTTATAAATTATTTAATTAATTAGTTATTTATAGTTTACTAAATACAATGAATTAAAGAATTATGCATGAGAATCATGATAAAATTAAGAAATGATTGACTTACATTGAGTTATAGACTGCGAGACCCATTAGCTGTAAGGAATATAAGTGTGATTTATTGGAAAATAATAGATTAATTTGAAACATACAACTCCTATTAGGTTGTATTCCCTAAGATTGCCCATTTGTGCCGTACTAAACCAATAACACCGAGATTTGCTGTGGTATACAAACATCCCTAATAACACATTTACGACATTTACAGTAATACGGTTTACTTTAATTGATTCATACCATAATCTTCATGGAATATTTGCTTGATTAATAATAAGAACCATTCTTTGGTCAGACCACCCATATCGAGGCCAGGTTCACCTAGGGTATTATTAATACATTTTTAAATTTACACATTTACATAGTTATTAAAATATAGTTGTATTTTTAAATTCTATAAAACAAGTTTGGATTCGCTTTGTTATACTCACCAATAAATGTCACTTTAAGTTTCTTCTTCAAATCATTTTGTTTTTTAGCGATCTATTCATTCAACACATAATTGTAAACATTTATCTTAATTGTGTTTTGAAAATTGAAATAGAAATGAATGGACTGTTACTTCGTTTAGGGAATCGGAAACTAAATTTGATCGATGGATGTTTAGATTCAAGAAGAATACATCAATATCTGCCATTTGCTGATGAATGGCGCGATTTAATAAACTTTGCTATAAAATTGATACAAACAATTTAGCCCTTTGAAATCATAATTTAAATAGATGACTAAATAATTCATCGCTTTTCTTATATAAATTATAAAGTATTTTACATTTTTAATTTAACAATAAACCATGAATACTAACCCTTGCATTCAATATCATTTGCTGCTCTGAATCTCTTTGTAAAACTTATGTTATAAATAAATTTGAAGCAATTTTATTAAATTTTAATTATATCTAATAACATGAATGTCTCACTTGTTTTCTTTGCGACAATACTTAAGATGAAAGGATACTGACAGTAAGAGAATCTATAATTTGGTATTAAAACATAAGTTAATTACAATAATCTATAATTTAGTTCAATTTAGTTAACCGATTGGTTTTGGATGGGTTTTGCCATCGATAGTACTCAGACATAAGGTTGATGTGATCCAAAGCAT